AAGTTGCTGTGAACATGTTTTTGTTTCTCTTAGATAAGTCCTTAAGATTAGAATTGCCTGACTTAAGAGGGAGTGAATGTTTAACTTAATTTAAACAAATTGTCAAATATTTTTCCAAATTGGTTGTATCGTTTTACATCCCTACAAATAGTGCCTGATGGTGCTAGTTTTTCCCACATGCTGGGAAAAATTGATATAGTTAGTCTTTTTATTTTTAGAAAATTTAGTAAAGATTTGCTTTTAATGTTAATTTCCCTGATGACTAATAATATTGAATATTGAGTGTTTTATGTTCTTTGGCAGTGTGTGTGTGTGTGTGTGTGTGTGTGTGTGTGTGTGTGTGTTTTCTCATTGGTGCAATATCTGAACTTCTTGTCCATTTTTTAATTGAGTTGTTTATCATATTACTGATTTGTAAGAATGTACTAGCCCATTTTTCATTACTATAAGGAAATTCCTGAGGGAGGCTAATTTTATAAGGAAAAGAAGTTGTGTTGGTTCCCAGTTCTGATCCAAGATTCAGGTGCTACATCCAATGATCTTCTTCATGGAAGAGTCCTAAGGCAGTGCAGGCTATCACATGACATGAGATAAGGAGCAAGCATGGGCATCTCCAAAGATCTACCTCTCTCTCTCTCTCTCTCTCTCTCTCTCTCTCTCTCTCTCCAACACCACCAGTATTCAATCATGAACTTGTCTAATCTTATCACTTCCCAAAGTCCCCACCTCCAAGCACTGTAATTACATTGAGTTTTCACCCTCTTAATATCTCAAGATGGGGATTAAATTTAAACACAAGGGCATTTGGAGAACACACATGAGTCATAATCTAAATCATACCAAACAATTTCTTATATGTCCTTGGTATGAGTCCTTTTTCAGATATGTTTTCTAAGAATATTTTCTCTAACTTGAGCTTTGTCTATTTATTTTCTTAATGGAGTTATTTGGTGAGAAGGATTTTTAATTTGATTAAGAATTAATGAATTAATTCTAATTAAAGAATTTTTAAATTTTATAATATTACTTTCAATGGCCTAAGAAATATTTGCCTTCTCCAAAGTTGCAAAGTTATTTTCTTCAGTAAGCTTTGTACTTTGTACTTTTTTTTACTGGCTATGTTCCAGTCTATAATTAATTTTTATGTATATATACTAATTTTTGTGTATGGTATAAATATATAAAAGATTTTGCAGGTACTATGTGTATGGTGTATTTTCCCATAAGGGTATTCAGTTTGTCCCTGCCCCCATTCATTAAAAATACTTCCTTCTCCATTGAATTACTTTGGTGCTTTTGTCAAAAACCCATTAAGTACACAGGTTGAGGTCTATTTCTGAATCTTGTATTCTGGTCCATTTATCTATTTGTCCTTATGTCAATGTCACAGTGTCCCAATTACAATTTTTTTAATGGTAAATGTTGTAGGTATTTATAAACACTATAGCTTTGCATTTTTATATTGTAGGCTTTTGTATTGCTATAAAAATTTTAGACTATTTTATGATTTCTACAATAAATGTCTGTCAGGAATGTGTTGAGAATGGGAAAAATTGGGTTGTTTTTTTTTTGGTTCTGGAATTAAATCCAAGGGTACCTAACCACTGAGCCACATCCCCAGCCCTCCCCCCTCTTTTTTTATTTTATTCAGAGATAGGGTCTCAGTTGCTTAGGGCCTCTCTAAGTTGCTGACACTGGCTTTGAACACAATCCTCCTGCCTCAGCCTCCTGAGCTGCGGGGATTACAAGTGAGTGTCGCTGTACCCAGCCTCAAAATTGGTATCTTAACAATACTGATTGAACACAGTATATCTCTCCATTTGTCTTCCTGGGTTTCTCTCATCTGTGTTTTCTAGTCTTCTGCGTAGAGGTTTATGCACATTTTTTAATGCAATTTTTGGCTACTAATTTTTTTTTAATGCTACTCAGAATGTAATATTTTTCATTTAATTTTCAGTTTTTAGTCCTTTCCAGGGCCTGCTATAACAAAAGACTGCAAGCTGGGAATGATTAAAACAATAGAGATTTATTTTCTCATAGTTTGGGAGTTCAGAAGGCCACAATCGTATCACTTGGCTGAAACTAAGGTATCAGTAGGGCTGTACTCCCTCTAGAAGCTCTAGGGAGAATTTGTCATTTGCCTTTTCATCTTCTGGTGGCTGCTGGCATTCCTTGGCTTTTGCTTGCAACCAATTGCTCCCTGTGCTTTGTATGGCCTTCTTTGTGACTGCATTTGGGGCTACCGGATAACCTAGGAAAATCTCTCTGTCTTGAGATCTTTAGTTTAATTACATCCGCAAAGATCCTTTTTCCAAATAATGTAACATTTACATATTTCAAGGATTAAGACCTGGTGTCCACACAGGTGATATGTAGAAAAAGCATTTTTTTATTTTGGTTTTGTATTCCAAAAAAACTCCCTCACTATTTCTTATTATTTTTTATTGATTTCTTATGCAAACTATCATTGAAAAATGTTAGGCTTATACTGCATATAATACATTTAGTATTAAAAATAGAATCATCAACCCAGGAACAGTGATGCATGCCTGTGGTCCTAGTTATATGGGAGACTGAAATAGGAAGGCCACATGGGCCCAGGAGTTGGGAGAGCATCCTGGGTGATGTAGTAAAACCCTATCTCCAAATAAAAACCCTTCCCACCTACGCCTCTCTATATATACATATAACACACACACACACACACACAGACAATATATATATATATATATATATATATATATATATATATATATACACACACACACACACACATATACACACAAAAGATCACTAAATAATATTGATTTAATTATCTGCATACAATTCCATATCCATGCACAATTTTGCAATGGTTAATCTGACCCACAGCTTTGACTTTATAAATGCAACTCAAATTTGTATTGCAAGCCTTGCCTTCTAGAATTCCAGAGCTTAATTTATAACTGCCTCGTAGGTTTTTCCACCTACAATAATGCATTAATAACTTAGCATTAGTCATCAATCCAAAGCCAGCATTAACATCCCCTCCATACCTTCTTTGTATTCTGCTTGTCTATTTCTGTGACTGTCACTAGTACTGTCACTAGTATGATTCACTGATGTTTGAAACTTCAGTCATCCTTGATTCCTTCCCTTAATTCCTGCATTAAGGTTTCCATTGCTTTAAACACTCACAAATATCCTTCAAAATGATCTCTCCCCTCTCCCCACTGTCAGACTTTAGTTCAGACCTTTCACACTTGACTTTCTCAATAGTTCCCTATCTAGTCTTGGTGACTTTCAATCTCCTTCTTTACAAATTCATTGTTTTCTGTTTTTCCAGAATGATCTTTCTTAAGCCCACTTGATTACAATATGTTCCTATCTCTCTAACAGATCCTGCCTTTAATCTTTCTTGGTCTTCAGCATGTACTACTTGACATTGTTATTATATTTTTACATATGTATATCTCTCTAACCAGACCAAGGTTAGTAGAGGACAGGAACTATATTCTACTCTTCTATATGCACAGACCAAGTTTATAGTAAGTGGTTAATAAATATCGATGAACATTGTAACATGCTTTTCTGAGCACTAGAGAGAGTTTGATAATGATGATGGTGCAAATATATGTTATTTCAGCTGTTTATTTTTCCAGGAAATCACAGAGAAAGAGTGCAGTATCAGGGAACACAGATAAGTTTGATGGAGAACTTGGGGGGAAAAAAAACTTGTAAAAATTTAAATACATATTTTATGGTAACAAATGCAAACACTTCAATTTCCATTAACATCTCTTTAGCTTCCTTTCTGAAGATTCGTAATTTATTGGTTAACTCTGAAAACTGTTGTCTTGCATGTCAAGATAAATGCTTTGAGAATTTTAACTGGTGGATTGCTTAATTCCAAGCTGAAATTGAGAATTCAGTGTAAAATAGTAAAACTATTTCATGACTCCTAGGTCTGAAGGGTTTATGCTTGATAAGATTATGCGTGGATGAATCTGGATTTATGACTCTGACAATTAAAGGGAAAGAAATTTTCTTTATATGTTTTGTGTACATGAACGGGTGAGGGGAATTTGCCCTTGAAATGAAGACAGGGCAGAAAACCCTTTAATTTGAAGCCTGGTTAATTTCACGAATTGGCTTCATAATCCTTCACAGGACACTTTCTCATTAAATATAAACTTTCAAAGAGCAAAGGATTTAAATTACCTAGGAAGAGAAAGTAGATAAAGGAAGGGAATCAGAATGTCCAAGATCCTGGACTTTCCAACATTAAGAAATTTGTTAGAGAATTTAGACAGCAAAAGGAGACTAGTAATTAGCTGCTCTTGGAGAAAAAAAAGAATATGGTGTCCTGAAAGCCCAAACAGAAATACAGGTTAACCAAAGAGCGCTCAGCTGATGTTGCTCCAAGGTAACTAAGCACTAACAATATGGAACTGTTGGAGACTTTGACAAGGGCCATTTCAACAAATCAGTGGGATTAGAATTCAGGTAAAAGCCAGCTAGATAATAAATGAACAAAGACATTTTTGATGCCTTTTTAAAACACACACTCTTATTTCAAACCTAGAGCTGGCCTAATGACCTGAGTCCCCTTCAAATCTCAGAGATTCTAATTCACTTAATTTATTCATGATTCCTCCTCATGCTTCCCAAGATTGTTTCAAGGATGTGAAACTGCTTTTAAACAAAGAAGGGCTACAAAAGTAGGGCGAAGGGGCAATTGTTAATTTTTATTATTCTATTCAATTACTCTATCGTATTCATTTTGTAGTCTCTGGGCTCCTTTATTTTTCCTTAATACCCAACACTTACTAATTGGTTGCCACAGTGAGCATTTACCAACACGGATTTCACACCCTTTACTACGCCCCACTCTCGTTCCCTCTCCAAGCCTTTCAACCCAGAAAGCAAGGGCAGGGCGGGGGTGTGGGGAGGGGCGGAGTACACGGCTCCCGCCTACAGACTGTGGGCGCATGCGTCAGGCCCCGCGGACTGTTCGTGCTGCTTCCCTAGGATGGGCGGAGTGGTGGTTTCAGTGACGGACTGAATACGGGTGCCGGGCAGGCTCTTGCGGAAGTCCATGCGCCATTGGGAGGGCCTCAGCGGCTTTTCTGTGCCCTTGTTACCGAGGCCTCTTCCTGGGTCATTTTTAGATCAAGAGCCGCACTGGGGCTGACACGGGGGCTCCCGCGAGGCCGTCTCGGCGCTTGGGTGACCTCTACGCCGGAGAGATGTGGCGAATGCGTCGGGTCGCCGTGGCCTGGTAAGTGCGGGCTCCAACCTGGCCCCGGTATTTCAGGGCCAAGATTGTCCCATTACTACGTCCAGAATGTGCAGATAACGCCTTGTTCAAGCCGAGGGCGGTTGGGGAATTCCCGGATATTTTTGAGGACCCGAGTTACAGAAGTTCTGACTAGGCTTATCTGCGGAGCTGGCTGGCTTCGGTTTCGACCGTCGTCCCTGACCAGCTTGAAGACTCAGGACGCCTGTCTTGGCTCTTCTCTGTTGTCCTTTTGTCGCTGTCCTTTACACCTTTGTGACCTCGCTGTTATCTCTGCCTTCACTTGTTTCTTGTTTTACAAATTCTCTCCATGTCTGTTCTGGCTTTGTCCATGTATGGCCTTCTGTGCGCTTCCCCTAATTGCCTTTGCTTCCATCTCCATGCCATGTGTACATTTACACCTGTAAGTCTTTAGGCTTTTCTGCAGGGCGAAGGGGCCTCTGCCTGTTTGGCTAACCCTCTTTTGGGAGTCAGATCTAGAACAGTGACGCACATGGTGTCAGAGGTGGTATGTATAGATGCCATGTTCGAAGAAGCATTTTCACAGTGTTTAAGGAAGAGACTTGAGACTTGCATTTTGAAGCAAAAGAAGCGAATGTTGCACCACCTTTCAAATTATACAGTCATTGTTGTTCTGGCCTGTTTTACTCCTACATAGGAAATCATAGAAATCTTTTCATTTTTGTGGATTACTGTATGCATTCTAAGCGTATTAATTGACTTTATCTTTTTATATAATTTGTTCTAATAACCTTAGATAACTTTCATACTTAACTCATTGTTGAAGGCATTTAATAGGAAGGAATATGCATCAAGCAAGATTGAAAAAAAAATATTAGTTTTCCATTTCTAAAAGTTTTCCTCTTAATTCCACCTCTAAACACTGGCCTTGAGTTTTTCTCAGAACTTTTTTAATGGTGTAGATAATTTACAGTGTTTATAAGGAATACAATCCATTCGTTTTTTGAAAGTTAACTGAAGTGCAAATGCAGAACTTACAGTGTTAGTCAATTAGAATAATTACATAGTTATTTTTATTCCTATAGAATTTAATTTTTGAGTAAATTCACAGTCCTTGGCACCAAAGTAAGTTATTTGCACACTTCGTATTTCTACTTCTCAGTATTTAATGGGGAAACATCTATTTAAATAAAAAAGAAGAGACTGAAAAACACAGCATACTCTGGAGCAATTAAGATGTGTAGGAAAAATTTTCAAAATTGAATTTAAAGACAAACTAATTTATAACTGGTAGACTTTGCTTTATTCAACTGGGTATTGTTGGACTAAGTTGTTTCTAAAGTTATTATGGATGCCATAGAGTCTTGGCTTAAAAATGTCCTGTGATGACAGCACATTTTAGCTACCAGAAGAAATGGAGCTGTGGAAAGTCAGAAAACTTAAACTGTGGAATTTGTCTTTTGCCAATAGTTCCTTTGCATATTATGAAGGAATACAGTTAAATTCCTACTCTTTAACAGGTGGGAACCTAAACATTTTTGAAATACATATATAAACACATGCTCATGGACTTGTGAGAAGACCAATGACCAGCATTTATTTGGGTGCAATATTTATGAAAAATTAATGAAAACTATATATTTGCAATTGTTGTTTTAAAAGAGATGTTAGATAGGCAAGAAAGTAGATGACTTCTTGGAATAGGGAGTCTATTTTGCATCACTTTTGATTTTTAGTTTTGTTTGCATATAGCAGTCTCTTTTTCCCTTCATGGAAGTTTTTAGGATCTCCACTTTATACTCTCAAATTTCTCAGGGCTTTTGTTCAGATATAGGTTTCCTTTTTCACCACCAACTGGCTTGGCACTCAGTGGGCCTTTTTGTGAAATAGACCATTATCTTCCTTCGGTTTTGGGAAATTTTTTCCTTATTTTCTTTCTTTCTTTTTTTCCTGTTCTTTTCTTTCTAGGCACTTTTAAAATGACTATTTAGTCCTCTTAAGTTGATCATGTGTGTCCATGATTTCCAAATTATGGTCTGTAATCCTTTATCTGTTAAAAAAATGCATGTACTCTAATATGTGGATGTACACTACACATTCATCTTTATGTATGTGTGTGTCTCTACATTATATATATCTTTACATTATAAGTTGATCTTCTCTTGAAGGATAGTATACAAAAAAGACTGCAGCCAGAAGCTTTGATACTTTCTTCCAGAACCTAGGGATGCTTTCGCCCTATCATCTCACCCTCTTTGCATATCTCTTCTTTATATCACTTAGTTTTTCTCTAGTGTTTTCCTGATTTTTTTTCTTTACTCAACATTTTAGGGGATTTCCTTAATTTATTTTCCATTATTGGTTTTGATTTTTTAAAAATATATTGGCCATTGCAACTTTAATCTCCACGAACTACCTTTTTAGTATTTAAGCTCTTTTTGGCTCTTAAAAGCATGTTTAATTCAGTAAGCTTTCTGTTGTTCTTTGCTATTTTTAAAAAATAGTTTTGAGTAACAAGATTCTCTTATTTATGTCTGTAATATTTTCACAGATCTTCCTGAAAATCCTAATAAGGATTTCATATCTGTTCTTTTTCCAGGATTAATAATGACATCTTAGTCCTCATCTTAAGAGTTGCTGGTTTTCTAGAGTCTGTTACCTAAATTATATTTAAACCTGATGGGCTAATAGTTGGTATAGATGCCAGTGCAGGATACCCATGAATGAGAGAGCTTTGAAAAAACTGTTTTAGATACCTGATATATCAACTTGCAGGCTTCATTTTAGGGAGTAAAGGGGTGGCCTGAATTTGTTACATATACTAATACTATTAGAGGCTCACTCTGGGAAGTTCCCACATACATGCATGCATGGACTTAGCTCTTCCCTTCTTCTCTGACAGATTCTCAGCCTTGGGGCAACTAGTGTAGCTAACATTTGGCTGGATTGGAATGGACTAGAGGGTGACCCATACATCCCTCTCCACAGTTAGTGCTTCAGTAAATCTCAGTTGCTTTTCTTTTTTTCCCACCTGTGTCTCAAGAGAATCTTGTTGTAAAAAGCAATCCCCTCCTGTATGAACATTTATCTTTTAAATTGGAAGCTCTAGAAGTAATTCTTGAGGTTGTCTTTTTAAGTATTAGGATTTGCATAAAGTCTGTTATCTCTTCCAGAGAACTAATTGATGAACATTTCATTTGTAATTACTGAACTGAAATACTTGAATACTTTATCCTTGTCCCTGTCTCTCACCCATAGTTATTATTGCCATCATTGTCGAAATAGAAATTTTAGAAATTTGTGAGAAAATAATGAGAAGCAAAAACATCCTAGGTGTGAACTCAGTACTGGAGTTCATCTAGTTGGGTATATATTTGGACTAACTCTTTTATAAGAAATGCAAATGACTTTTCAAAGGTTAAGGAGTTATACAGTAGTGAAGTTTAGTGCAAATTATGTTGAAGTGATGTTATTGAGCACTTACTCTGCTAGCGTTTGCTAGGTTCTTTGGCCTATTTTTTGTAATTTAATTACTCCAATAACCTGTGTTCATGCAGCAGGTTATTGAGTGTCTATCATTTGTGAGGCAGTGCAGACCATAGAAATATAGTGATAAACAGCCAAGAGGCTATTTCTGGTAGATTTTAGTTTACTGGTAGAGACCAATATTAATCCAATAACTACATTATTATGTAATACAAGTTTTATGAATGCTATGAAGGAAAAGTACAGAGAACTGAGAGCTATAGCAGGGGGACTCACATTATAATGAAGGCTCAGGGGAAGGGAGGGAATGCTAGAGGTGAAACTGTGATCAGTAAGTAGCAAGAGTCAAGTAGATAGCGGGTCTCATGGTCTTAAGGTAGGAAGGAAAATGGCATATTGAAGAATTAGATGAAAATTAGTCTGGGTGGAGCTTTGAGGCAAGTGAATGAGAAAAAGACCATACTATGGAGAGCATTATAGACCAGCAATTTGGATTTTATTCTAAATGCAGAGGATCTATTTAAAAGATGGATGCAGGTGTATGATAATGATCAGATGTGAGTTCTAGAGAGTGCTTTGGTAATGGTAAGGATAAAAGTATGTATCAAAAAGGGATCCTCAACTCTGGCTAATTAAGTAGATGGCTGCTTATACCATTTTCAGATATAGGAAATACTGTAGAAGTGTCAGGATTTAGGAGGATGGGAGAGATGTCAATGTCCATGATTTTGGACATATTGAATTTAATCATTTTGATCCCTAAGTGGGGACGTTGAGTAGGCAATTCTATACAAGCGACCGGAACTTACCTATTTGTATTAGACAGAAACTTGAGAAACATGAGTATGTGATGGTAATTGAGGAAGTGGATGTAGATAGGATTGCCTAGGGAAAGTTAAAAGAGAAGTAGGTTGGATACAAGACTTAAACTCCTAGCATTTAAAAGGTAGTTGAGGAAGAGACTGAAAAGGAGTGGCCAGTTAGATAGGGGTAAAATGAGAGACTGCCAAGTAATAGGAAGTTCCAACAATGAGGAAGTGTCAAGATTGTCTTACAATGCCGAGAAAACTGGGAAAAAATGCCCGTTGAAAGTCTTGGTGTCCTAAGTAAGAGTTGTTTCATTGAATGGTAGAAGTGAAAACCAGATTGGTTTAGTTTTTAATAAAGTAGTTTGGTTTAGAAGGTTTTGATTTCCTCATTAAGATGAGAGAAACTGAAAGGATAGGGCAAGAATACCTTTTAGGGATTTACCTTCAATGGGAAGAGGAGCACTTGATGTAATCTAACATGAGAAGAGGATGGTGTAGATGCAGTGGGTACAACTGAAATGAGGCCACTTCTTTACTTCCCTCCTGATACACTTTTAACTAACACTGTTATCATACTTTCTTTATTTACTGTCTAGACTAATTCTTCTCAGAAACTTAACTCTTGTACCATTTAACTATGCCTTTGATTTGAAGGATTTGTTTTGTCTTTAATTTTTATAGTTAATGATTGTTGGGGTAGAAGCAATATGAAGCTAAGATGAGGTTTTGCTTAATAGATATGCAGAGTCTAATGTCAGAAGAATTCAATCTCTTGATTGATAAAAGAAGACAGGGACGGACTTATGTTTACAAGACAGTGGAAATTATGATTTATTTTGAGACAGAGCTTTTTTATTTTTTAAAATACAAAATGATTGCCAACTTTTATAAAGAAAGTTTTTTGTATCAGAAGTAACAATTACATGTATAATTACAAATAAAGAGTGTGCCTGATCTGGCAATATGTATTTTCTCCTACTATTAAACTCTATTTTTCCTCAGTTTTTCTGAGTTTGAGATTTCCTATAGAATCTTGAATCAGAGCAAGACTCTGTCATCCTGATAGTTTCAGAGGTGGCAGCAAATACTTCAAAATGTCACTGCCTTGGTTACACATGAGTGATTTATCTTAAAAGAGTGCTTTAGCATACACCATAGGCTATGAAAATTAGGCTCAACTTATTCCTGGTTGGATATGTTAGCATTACAGTAAAATAGAGATCATTTTCTGGTCACTGTTGCATTCTCTTAAGGTTATTTGTGATATAGGTTAGCCATGGCCTGTGGGTTACTAATAAACACATCTCAATTTCCCAGATTATATATTTTTTTAATTTGAATTTTTTATTATTTATTCTAATTTGTTACACATGATGGCAGAATGCAATTCATTTCATATTACACATATAGAGAACAATTTTTCAAGTCACTGATTGTACACAAAGTATTTTCGCACCATTCATGTCTTTATACATGTACCTAGAGTAATGATATCTAACTCATTCCACCATCATTCCTACCCTCTTGCTCCCTCCCTTTCCCTCCCACCCATTTGCCCTATCTAAAGTTCCTCCATTCCTCCTATGCTCCCCCTCCATCGACATTATGCATTCAGGTAGATGCCTGACTTGCAAGGCTGAACCTGATTCATTTGACAACACAAGGTAACTCCCAAAACCACCCTGATCTGAAGGACTAGGTCTCAGTCCCTGGGTACAAAGAGGAACCAGTGGAGGCACTCATTCTCTCTCACAAGGAAAATACTATAATCTTCACCCATAGAGGAAAATAAAACTCATTTCCATATTATATAATGGTGAAACACATATTTTTAATGATTCTGAGCTAAAGTGTACCAATACCTAAATCTAATGACATTTCCTTCCTGAAAATTCATACCACACCCTAATAAATTTACATGTTCTCCCCCCACCAAAAAAAAAAATATGTTATCGCAGCCTCCTATCTGGAGCTACACCATTTATGCATCTACTGCTTTTCACATTCTTGCTTACCAGTGTCTGTTGTGGAAAGAATTTGGGCTTTATTGTTGGGCTGAACCTACTTTCAATCCTTTTCCACCATTTACTACTCATTCTACCTTAAGCAAGACATAGTTTTAAAAAGCAAATTTGTGAAAGAAGGTACTTAGCTTACTGGGTTTTTCTAAGAGTTACCCAGCAGTAAGTATTATTTGTAAAAATGACTGGCATGGTGGTGCAGGCCTGTTATCCCAGTGGCTGGGGAAGCTGAGACAGGAGGATGGTGAGTTCAAAACCAGCCTCAGTAACGTTGCAAGGCACTATTCAACTCAGTGAGACTCTGTCTCTAAGTAAAATACTAAAAAGGGCTGGAGATGTGGCTCAGTGGTCAAGTGCCGCTGAGTTCAATCCCTGATATCCGAAATAGGGGGGAAAAAATGACTGGCATCTGGCATGATGTCTGGCACTTAGGAAGGAGAGCTTCCACTTTCCTTCTATTATCCTTTACAACATTGTTTTTATGTTCCATAATTTCTTTTTCTTGAGAAGTTTCAAGTTCCATGTAGTTAAATGAATTAATATTTTAAAGCTGCTTAAAATTGGGCTCGGATCATTTGTAAGCAACTATGAATGTGTGTTAAGCTTAGGCATGTGGTTCTTGTTGGTAGCCTTTCATTCTCTTCTGGATGGAGAATAGGGTAGAGCTCATATAGTTAACATGTACATGTAGGTTCTGTTCTCTTTTGGAGATTGGGGTGGCTTTTTTGCTACTATCGTTTTTTCTGGGGGCCAGGTTCCTAGGTGGGATTGAATAATTTTTTAAAATATCCATCCCTGGGCTATTTTAGAATTGGGAGAAGTAGATAAAAGAATAACTTTTTTAAACTGCCACAGTTTTTGTACTTAAAAGCAAAACTTTGCATGCATTTTTGTTTTCAACAAAATAAATATCAACATAAATAAATATCAACATAAATAAATATCAACATAAATAAATAAATATCAACAGTTGTATGACTCGTTGCGGTTGGTCACATATGCATGTGTATCTTCTTTAGAATATTGCTTTGTTATATTATTTCCTTTGTGCCATTACCACCCCTGTACTTTTTTGTTTCAGTGAAGTCTGCCAATCCTTGGTGAAACATAACTCTGGAATAAAAGGAAGCTTACCACTCCAAAAACTGCATCTGGTTTCACGAAGTATTTATTGTTCACATCATCCTACCTTAAAGCTTCAAAGACCCCAATTAAGGACATCATTTCAACAGTTCTCTTCTCTGACAAACCTTCCTTTACGTAAATTGAAACTTTCTCCAATTAAATATGGCTACCAGCCCTGCAGGAATTTTTGGCCAGCACGGTTAGCTGCAAGGCTCTTAAAACTTCGATATCTTATACTGGGATCTGCTGTTGGGGGTGGCTATACAGCTAAAAAGGTAAGTTTAACTTTCCTACTGGTTTTCCAATTATTCCAGTATGATTATTTTGAATTTTTGTAGTTTTAAGTCATTTTTTTTAGTGTAGTTAAGTGTAATTGATTTAAACATTTATTGTGTGTCTTTACCATGTAACAGGTTGTTTTAATGATGCTAAAAGGAATGTACCTTCTGAATCTTAGTTATAATTATAGGAGATAAAAAGGCCTAGAGGAAGATCCCTGAGCTGAGAGTGAGAAATATAGGTTTCATATTGAGTCTAGATGGGAAAGTTAGGTAGCTTGCTCACAGGGCCACTTCTTGGCAGCTCTGGGTTCAGAGAGAAGGTGTCCAGTCTCCTGATATATATTCCTGCTGCTCTCCATGGTGTTGTTTAATGCCAATATGAAATCAGCTTAAAATAGTTACATATTTCGAATTTTTTATTTTCTATATTTGGTAGAGGAGTATTTACATGTTTTGTATGCTTGCTTTCTGATTTGTTTATAGAAGAGCTAAAGCCATGTAAATTTGTTTCTCACAGCTTAGTACATTATACAATACACTGGTCTTTGTAGATTTATGTGTTTTAATTGAAATAACTGTTCTTTACATTTTTTATATGGTATTTAAAATATCTATGTAAAATTGTGGATGTGTAACCGACGTGATTCTGCAATCTGCATTTGGGGTAAAATTGGGAGTTCATAACCCACTTCAATCTAATGTATGAAATATGATATGTCAAGAGCTTTGTAATGTTGTGAACAACCAATAAAAAAATAAAAAATTAAAAAAATAAAATAAAATAAAATATCTGATTAACATGCTTTCTTATCTTTTAGACTTTTGATCAGTGGAAAGATATGATACCAGACCTTAGCGATTATAAATGGATTGTGCCTGACATTGTATGGGAAATTGATGAGTATATTGATATTGGTTCGTATCATTAACATTAAAATATTTTTTATGGTTATTTCTTTAGGAAAGAGAAATAGTTTATTGAGGTAGTTTCTTAAGTTTTGAGTCTTAATATGTAGTAGTTTTCTTTTAACAATAAAAGTAATAGAATATCAAAGAAAAAAGTTGTATGAGAAGGTATTTAGTAGTCCATCACTTCAACACAGCTGCCACCATCCTTATAGAAAACATTTTCTTTTAACTGTACTTCTTTGTATATGGTTAGAATTTTAGTTTCTTTTAAAAAATTATACAGTCATAAGGACATGTACTTTTTGTTTTTGCTACTTAACACATTTTGTCAGCATTTCCATTCTGCCACATAACTTTTTTGCTTTTAGTCATGTTCCTTAAAAGTCTGTCAGTATTCAGAATGATTTCTTCTCCTAATCAGACACTGCCTCTCCCCTTTTTAATAAGTAGATGAGAAAAAAATATATTTAGCAGCTATTATCAGTAACTCATGGTGATTTTAAAAATATTTTTATTGAATTCTTTTCCTCAGTTTCTTTTTAAGACATTTGTCTTAATTTCTTAGTTGTAAATGGAGTTGGAATTTTAATCTCTGTAAGCACTCGTTCACAGCACTTCTTAAAAATAAAACTGTTATATGTTGACTAGGCATTTTTGGGAAAGCACACTTTCAAATTGTTTTTCATGGGGGTACTTTTCAACATAATACATTTGCTACTCCCACAATACATTGGCCAGAGAACCTATATTCTGAAGCAAACCTGCCTGGGCTTGAACCCAGGCTCCCCTACTTCCTTGTTGTATGCCCCGTTATCTCATCTGTAAATGGAGTTGAAAATAGTAGCAATTTTGTAGAGTTCCTTTGAGAATTAAGAAAATGAATACTTTTATAGCCCTTAGATTAATAGATGTCATATTCTTGAGACAGTTGATGACTATTTATGTATTTTGGTTTTCTTCAGAGAAAATTAGAAAAGCCCTTCCTAATTCAGAAGACCTTGCAAAGTTAGCACCAGACATTGACAAGATTGTTGAAAGCCTCAGCTTATTGAAGGACTTTTTCACCACAGGTAACAAAGGACCTGTTTGATCTAATTTAGAGATTTAAGAACTACAGAGAAAAATGTATACATGTATTTGCTTATTTCCATCTTTTAAATTAAAATACTTAGTAAGTTTTCTGAAAATGGTAAACTTCCTTCTAAATTTTGTTATACAGTGGTTTGAATGTTTTTCTAGCTCAATAAACTGAAAATTTATGCTTGACTTTTAGTAAGTGAGGGAAAAACATAGCACCACTTCTTGACAAGTAGATGAGACTTCCTATGTATTTGCTTTTCATAATTGGTTAAAGCCAATATGGTGATTTTAAAACAAAATTTAATTTCACAGGCCATAACAATAGAATTTATAAGGCCAATTCTGGCATATTTGCCCAATTACTACCCTATTGTGATATAAATCTGAGATCTCAGACACCTTTGTTTGCCATTCCTATTAAATTTTACATTTTTATTTCCCCTTCTGCTAATTTTTCACAGGTCACAAATTGGTTAGTGAAGTCATAGAAGCTTCTGACCTACTTCTCTTGTTAGGTGTGTAAAAAGACATTTTTGCTGACCTTAACATGCCTTTTAAATGCTTCTAATAAACTAGTTGCAAATAAAGTTGCGGACCAAAATTATAATGCTGCTTATGCTGAATTTTAAAACCCCAGAAATATATTAAGCAAACTCATTATCCTTTAGGTGCAGAGAATAAAGTAATTATTTTGCAATAAAACTAAAATTCCTAAATATGTATGTATAAGATTAAACCTATTAAAATTTGCTTAGCCAAAATATTTTCTTGAAACATATAATTATTTTTGATAATTGAAATGAAAAGTAATTTTAGTTTGTCTCATCTGCCCTGTCATGGTTGACATATTAAATTTGTTTTTGTATTATATACTTGGCTTGATGACAGTGGTATTTGTCTGAACTGTAAGTACTCTCATGTAAAATAATCTTTACCAAAGATTTTCTTATTTTTTTTTAATTATATTTTTTAGCCAAATAGTTTTTAAATAAGTTAAATATGTGCTGTGATTTTTAGAAGTATTCTATATGAAAATAAAAGTGATTTGATGCTTTGACTCTGAGTTGCTCTAAAATCAGTTTACTTTTTAATTAATGAGACATAGTTTGGAATTTAGCTTAGGCTATGAATTGAAAGGATTGCATATTTAAAGGATTAAAAGGATTGCATATTTTTAAGGTTCACCTGGAGAAACGGCATTTAGAGCAACAGATCGTGGATCTGAAAGTGACAAGCATTATAGAAAGGTAAGTATGAAACAGAATTCTTCTTATAGGTAGTCTTGAAAGATTTTTAAAGTGTTTACCATTTGGAAGATTTGAAAGTGGCAGCATGAGAGAAGCAAATACAAAATTACCTAAACAGATGTACTTTTACTAATCTTAGTGCAAAAATGTGGTGGTTCTGGAAATATTAGACAAGCCCATTTTCTTCAAATATATTCTCTGAAATAATAATTCAAGGATTGGCTCCAAGAAAAAGTTTTGTTGTTAAATACATGTGGTGAAAACCAGTCTAGATAAAGCAAGATGATTTCCTTTCCTCAGGACTCCACAGACCTTAATATATTCATGAGCATCGTAAACCTCCAAGAGGAATCAAATTATACAGGATTTTCTGAATTTATTTATTAATCTTTCTCATGAAAATCTTCAGGAGACTAAATTTTACATAGGGGAGGATATTGAATAGAGTAGGAAATTAGAGTCCACAAAACTATGTGGGGGGTTATTTGAAGTTTGTTGATTACAGTACATTCCTTTAGCAAAATCCATATTAAAGCTATAGGAGAATTGCATATAATGTTATAAAATTGCTAAATTAGAATAACATGTGTAACTGTTTACAATTATATGTTTATTGTACATTTTCTTAGTCTTTATTTCTTTTATCCTTTGGGAATGAGTAAAATAATTGATTATGCAAAAAATTTTGCAAAAATAATATGTAGATAAATAGAATCATGGAAAAATATTCTGAACATTTAAAATTAAATATGGAATATATATGTTTTATGGTAAATTTTAATAATAGGAAATAATTTTATGTTCATTTGGGGTAAAGGAAGAAGAAATGATTCCTGTGTGTAGGTTTCCGTCTCCTTCCCTCTCTAAATTTCGAACATTTTATGTAATGGTCCAGATTTTAATTATATGTCAAGATTTATTTCTTTCACTTTTTAACTTTATCTTTTGGATAACGTATATTTCAGAATGTGTATGTATTTGCTTTTGATTTAATCTTTTTTGATACACTGTACTTAAATAATTTTAACCAAATAGTACTCTTAACTATTGGTAAGGTGCAGCTTATTTTGAGCCAAGGCCTTGGTTCTTGAGGCAAGTAAACAATAAATGAATTAATCTACTTATCTATAATGGGGAGAAAGCATCTTTGTTAGAATGATGGTGTGGGTTTTTGTTTCTTTTTTTTTGAGTGACAATATTTCTTTTTGCCTAAATCAGTTAGAGGAGGTATGCATGTCTGCTTTCTTTCTGATATGACCTAGGATTACTTTGGTGATAGAAGAACTTATCTTGGGATTATTCCTCTAAAACTGCCAAGTTGATAAATGAATAATCAATAATTAACTGGGAGCTCTGCAGTAGAGATAAAGCAAAAGAATGTGTTTTGGATAATATATTTACAGATTTTACTTTACAGTAGACATGCAAGTAAATTTTTTGCTTTATTTTATAAATTATTTTGAAAATAAAAGCTTGTTTGAAGATAAATGCCCTTGTAGACTGTTTCCTTTTTGCTTTTTTATAATTTATGGTAATTATTTTGCCCAGTAAAATAATTATTTCTACCCAAACATTTTTTGTAAACACTGAATCTAGATTGTAATTAAGCTGCTTTTGTTACCAATTAAATTATAGTAAATATTAAAAATTTATATGTGGAAAAAACTACCTCCAGTCTCAGCTGATGTCTCTAAAGATTGACTGTTGCCTATAATGCTTGAGAATAATGAACTACTCAGACATGATACAGATAAATTGATCTGATTTTAAGAGAATTCTCTACAATTGATGATTGATTACAGTCAAGCAAGAAGAGACCTTTGCATAGCAGTAGCCTTTTTGAAATAACAGAGACATGAAGTTTGAAAATCTGGATGATAATCAGAAATATTAGGGTGGCATCCAGAGGTTAACTGATAACCTTTTCAATTGGTTCAGTCTGATGTCTGAGAACTCAAGATTTAAAATAGTATTTTAAAGTAGGGTTTGAAGCAGTCACACTTCAGTTAAATGTTGTCAGGTTTGAAACAGTTTCTGGCTGGACTTCTATGGAAAATGTTTTTACAACTAGAACTAAAATAAAGATTTGTCCTTTCTAATAGGAGACCACATTCAGAAAAGTCCTGGCAAGTAAATGAACAATTAGAACCATTCAAAGTCAACAGAAGTGAAAATGATGGGAGTGGAAGGAAATACAGATGTCAGATAGTTTGACTTGAGTCAGACAGAAGGAACAACATGATGAACTGATTACCTCTGGTTTCTAATCTAGGCTCACTAGACTCCTGTGTTTGGGAAAGTTGTTAGAGAGGTCTTCAAAAATTCTACAGAAAGAATATATTCCCCCAGAATGCCGCACATGCTAAGTAATCATCAAGATTCTTTGGTTTACCTAGATTTATATCCATTTAGTTTGCAGATATTAGTTATTTATGCTATGTTGATTGAAATTTCTGATGTGTATCTTTGATTAATAAAACATTGAAAAATAGTAAAGTCACTTTGTTTAACCTAACTAAGCCATTTTATTGAGGTATGTTTGGCATACAGTAAAATCACTTTTTAATAAATACTTTTTGTTAAGTTTAATACTTGTGTCTTCTAGAGGAAAATATTAGAAATCACCTTTATAAACTGAATAATATTCTTGAGACCCAAAGAACTTAAAATTACTTCAAGACAATTTCGGATTTGGACTGATGGCCTTTTTTTTTTTAATTAATGGAATCATTGAAATCTGCATATTAGTCACATATATAAGTAGTAAGACCATTAGTGTATCTTCTTTATTAGATTCTTTAACACTATCATGTTCTAGTGAAAATTAATTTGTTAAAAGAGACATTTTGTTTTCTTCTTTTGTTCTATCATGTTTCTATTTGGTCATAAACATCTCACAGAAGTAAGTAATATGTCCATTCTGAAGGTAACAAGCATATTTGTGATTCACAGAAAATATTTGAAGGACTTTTTAAAGGCTCAAATCACGAAAAGTAGTAATATTATTTTCAGTGTAATTATTAAATGATAATACATTAATATTGTTCCAACATGTTATTCTAATTTTTATTTTTACCTTCCAACTGAAATATCTCCTTTCTTTTTTTTTAACCTGCCTAATTTCTGTTTGTGCTTATTGTCCCCTTCATGAATTCTTAAATAATCATTTTAATTCCTTCAGTTATCCTCTCCTCAATGTTTAGAATACTTGCCATATGAAATACTATTTACTTTGGCTTGAATTCTTACTGTTTAATGGACCATTTCTGTCACTAAATGTCTGTCCTCAGAGAACTCAGGATAGTGTTGACCTCTTAGCAAAATTAATTAATTGCTTTAACTTAGTAGAAGAGAGGCTGATATGAAGTAGATACATTTGTTTGATGTTAACAAAGGTGGGCCCAAAGATTTTTTTGTTCTGGTTACTGTGTGTTAGCTATAAAAGCACTTAATGTATTTATATTCTGAATTGTAGTAATGTTGCTTACATAGGGTTTGCATTTCTGGGATTCCTCATACAACAGATAATGTAGAATTTGTTGCAAAATTAAATTCTCACAACTATCACTATCAAGTAACCATGGAATTGGGAAATTCTTAAGTTTTCTGAGCAACTATCCTTGGTTAAATTCTCAGGCAAAATCCCAAACTGCTTGCATCCTGGAGCATAGTATATGAGAAACTGAGGGATCAAAGGAAGAAAAGCAGCAATAAATGTTTTTATTTGATATGTACATATATATGTATATAATACTGTTTTTATGTAACTATTTAGAACAAAGGGAATTTAGTAGATGTTGTAATACTGATAATTTCTGGCAATAGCTCTCTTGTTTTTCTCTTAAAAGAAATTGTCCATAGAATATGATATTTCTTGATTGGAGCAATTTCATCTTAAATAGAAAGACTTGTTTCTTTGTGATAACCAATAATAGCATTTTTCATTTGGCATAAACATCTTCAGCAGAATTATGTATTACCTGGGGGGCAGAAATAGTTCTTTTTAACTAACTAAATAGCAGAATTATTCAAACTTTGGAAAGTAGTTTAATGCTTAGCAATATTTTTAAGTAAGATAGGGAAAGAAGTTGTTACTTTCAGGAAGTTCTTTTGTGAGACTAAAGTTACCATAAAATTTCTAAATCAAGGCTCAGCAAACTTCCTTACAGAACCAGAGAATAAGTGTTTCATTTGTGCTTGTGGGCTATCATGTCTTTATAGACTACACAGTTTGAGCACTGTAGTGTTTGCCAAATTAATTAGTAATTAAATAGTAATTTAAATATGCTTCCCTTTGTATTGTTTTATTATCACTTTTTTTTAAGTGTAGTTGAACCTCATGGGTCAAAAACACTTTGGACTTCTACTGATTTTCCTGATCTTATGTCATGATTAAAAACAAAACAAAGGTGACAGTATTATACATGAAAATGGAACTAATTACTACAGTATCAATTTGAGAACAGCCAGGAGATGTTTAGAGAATATATCATTTGTAATTCTTAACAGGAATTATTTATCATTATTTATAGCAATTACTGTATTTTCTATGTAGTATTTTAAGAATAATGATTTGTGTACTATTTCTTGAGATAAAAATGGCCAAGCTTGTTTTCAATATTTATTAATAAAAATATATTTTGTACATCTGAGGAGTGTATATTGAAAAGCAGGTGCATACTTTCCTTGTCCTCTCACTTCCACATGGTCTTAGATTATAAAGTTTAAGCCCTTCATCGGGTATTGAGAGTGAGATTTGTTGCCTAAGACTGGGGAGAAGTAACTTCTTTAAACTATATAACATAGTGTAAATAGCTTTTTATGTGTCTAATTCGTGTTTTCTTCCAACTTTTTTCAGGAGGTAACAGTTAATTTCACCTATCTTCACATAACAGTGCTTCAGTAACAGACTTGGAAGGAAAGTGAGGTGTTATTAGAAAGAGAGCATTTTCTTATAATCTAATAAAGTATTTACCATTCATTTGTATTTATATATAAGCAATAACCTAGGGAAGGGTATTTAAGCTATAAATATAAAAGCTTTGGCATTTTATAAATTTTATTACTGGTAGTATATAAATAGATAGTAGGCACATTACTGTGTAAGTCAACATAGGAAGACTTCTTTTAAGGCAGAGAAATCTAAACACTTGGGTGATTTGAAAAGTGATGGATCAAAATAAATGAACAAATTAATAAGTCTTTCAGATTACTTTTCTTCCTGCTTGATGAAAAGCAATGATATAAAAAATGACAGAAATTATGGAAATGATGAAGATAGATAGTTGGCATTTTATTTTTTTGATAGATTTGACAATGACTAATAAAACTGATTTATTCAAAAGATATGTGTTTAAAGATAACTTCAGACTTTATAAATCTATTTTATATTATAGAATCTGGAAACAAATGTTGAAATTTCACTTGTCATATGGAAAAAATATCAATTAGTTCCATCCTTTGATTTATATTAAACTGATCAGTTTTATGCATTGTCTAATGTTAGCAATGATCATAACCTACTGTATTAAAATTAAGGATCAAGCACAGATTCCCCAAATTGTATATTAACATTTATACAATTTAAAATGCTTTACTATAATACTAAGTTTTGTATTTATTTTCTGGAAAACTCTTTAAGTCTTTGGGTTCTATAAGATAAAATAAATTAAGCCTCTGGATAAATTATATTTTAACAATGTTTACTAGCATTTTGGACTTTCTAATTCTACAAAACAAAGTATTTTTGGAAGTCATTTAAAAAGTTCTGAAACTATTTGAAACTCCTAATTTAGATTATTTTGTAAGTAGGGGCTTTCCTGAGTCTGTGTTTTTATGACTTTATAAAAACAGAGCCCATTGATTTCCAGACACTATTCTTATACAAATTAGTTATTTCATTCATTGAAACTACCTTTTTAGGATTTCTGATTGAGAAAATATGAAACTTATGCCCTTGTCAATTTCTAGTTATTCTTTCTTCCACATTTCTCAAGATTGATTATCTTATAGACCAGTAACTAAAAATACTGTAGATAGAATTACATGTTTTTATTATCATGCCACATGTGAATACATTGTAACAAAAATTGTACCCATTTATCATTTCCCAGTTAAGCGGAATTAATTTTAGAAGTAGAAAAGGTAATTATTTTGTGTCTGGATCCAAACTGGCTTTTGTTTCATTTTTAATTTTCATAATAATTATATTATCTCTATGTCTTTATTATGTTCTTTTATAGTGTTTTTGCTTAGTAGTTGATATTTACTTGGTTATGTTCTCAGAGTCTATTTCTATTTAATGTTGAAAAAACAGCTCATAAAAAGTGAAAATACAGTCAAGCTTGTTATTTAATATTATATAAAATCAAAATAGAGCATAACACAGTTTTTAACTTATAAAAAATTTTAATTTTAGCTGTGTGCAAAAGCACATAGAATATATGAGTTAATGTAAAACCTTGATTACCTTGATGCTAGAAAACTCAAATTAACGGGATTTTGAGAGATTGTAGTCTTCAATTGAAGAAATTGTATCGAAGAAAAATATTTACTTAAGAATAATAATTTAATAAGTAAATAAGCTAGTATAGTCTTCCAATTAGTCCTATGAGATTATGGATGAGTATTAAATTTAGGCCTGTAAGATGAGGAGTTTTGCTTTTTTCTCCAAGTTAGGGACATACATTGGCTCACATTGGCAATTCAAAATTAAGGGTTATACCAGGAAATGCAATGAACTACAATGCTGCCTTCCTGGAGCATTCCAGTTAGTCTAGGTTTTACTGTGTGTTGATATTATATATCCGGCTTACTTTATTCAACAGTTACGATTGCATTTTCCTTTTCACTTTTTAAGCTATGCTGTTTTATGTTTCTGAGACATCTAATTTTACTGAGGGTGAAAATGGAAATGCAGTACTGAGCTCAGCTAAATGAAGGCTCTAAAGGTGCATGAGTTTCCATTTTTGTTTTAAGCTATCCATTCCTCCCTATCTTACATCTATTCTTCGTTGTGCCCTTTGGTTTAACATTTTTCTCCTCCCCAATTTTCCTCTTCTCCTCATTGTAAACTCATGGCAGGGTCTGCTTGGTGAGCTCATTCTCTTACAACAGCAAATTCAAGAGCATGAAGAAGAAGCACGCAGAGCTGCTGGCCAGTATAGCACGAGCTATGCCCAACAGAAGCGCAAGGTGATGGATGATTTAAGGGGGCTACTGATATGTTCACGCTAATCAGCCATTTCTGCCAAGATCATGTCATCTTAATCCATTTATGGACTCAAGTTACAAGAAATTATTTTTAACAAAGTTAAAAAAAAAAGATACATCATAAAGATATGTAACTTTCCTGGAGTGGATGTAGTATAGTATAGATAAAGCTCAAAATATCAAGCTCAAGCATAGCAATTTAGTTTCCAAAGATTAGTTTATCTGTGAGTGTCCATGGATTTGTATTTAGAGTAAGATTATGAGTTACTGTTTATGTGGTCCAGTTATTGATTCACCCCAAAATTGATGCAGTTAAGAGGTTGCTTCGGCTGTTAGGTAATACCAGAGTATAGATTCCTAAGTTTGTATTGTAACAAGATTTTTAGGTCCCAGTGAAATAATTAATGATTTTGCCGTTATATTCTGAGATCTCAAAAATCAGTTAATTATGTTACATCTATTAGATAAAATAGTTTTAAAGTTATACACAGACTTTATTTAGGAAAAAAGATTAATTCACACAGTTAACTTCCAGGAGAGTTCTAATGTCTACATCAACCAATACTGTAGATAATAATTAGACTCCATAATTCTGCTGGCTAACCTTATCTCATTTGGTGGTGGTTAATACTTGACAGTACTCATCATAATTCTGTTATTTTTTTCAGTGTCACTTACTGGCTCTTCTCAATTCCATGGCTGTGGAATCAAAAATCTATATTAGCATTCAATAAAGAAATAACATAGGAAGGAAAAGAAAATAAGTTCTTTTTGTATGTGGTTAAAGTAGATGTGTTAAAAGGAAGGACTTATTTTAAGTGGTACTTTAACTTTCTCTTTTCTGTATCCTGTGAGTGCCCTTTAAATAGTCTATCAAATTGGATGTTTAGGCCAACCTATTCATACCATAGATTTGTTGCAGAAAGAAGGGGGAGGAGTTAGTATGTTCTAGTATGATACTTAGAAATATAAATATAGCTTTATTTACAAGTTGTTCTGAAGTGTTTTTTTTTTTATAATGATGAATATGTCCCTGTCATTTTAAGATTCTAAGATAGAGTTAAAGATTATCATTGTGCTTTTGAATCTAGCAATGCAGGGATATTAGGAATGAACACTCATTCATTTTCTACATTATAAAAGGTTAATATCCATTGTAGGCCTATTAGTTACTAGTTTTTACTTCTGACTTAGAAATATTATTCCTATTTCTAATGTTTATTGGGTTATTCATTTAAGCATTTTGTACCTCTTTCCTTGTTTATAAAATAGAGACTGTTAGGTCTCTATTTTGTTTATTAAAATACACTTAGTTGGGCACCAGACAGGCCTTGTTTGTGCCCTCTTTTTGTTGCCTTTTGTGAATTATAAGTGGGACTTTAAAAAATAATTTACACTCTTTTGTAACGAGTTCTCCTTACCGTTCTGAAAGAAGAGTTCCTTACTTAATCTTTACCTCCTCTTTCCTAGAGTTGGTACAGAAGTGACTTTTCAGCTCTTCACTGGCATGATCAAAATTCTTATGAGATTTTTGTCATTTCAGTCATTTGGGTTTTATTTGAGGTATAAAACAAACCATGGGTACTTTTTGTTGCTTTTTAATTATTGTTTTTCCCTTACCTTCTTGAAACTATAAAAAGGTCTTCATTTTTAAATATTTTGTTAGAAGCAACTAACAAGTTTTTTCTGTATCTTCTGAGTAAAAGAGCTCAAGAAGAGCTAGTAGATTAAAACTGCCTGTGGTAGTTTTGCCTCCTAAAAGTATGTATATATATATAGAAATCTTTCAGTGACCCTCTTGTATATGTATTTCAGAATGCCACAATGGCTTAATAGTAAGAAATACTTATTTAAAATCAGGCTTGGTTTTGTGAGGAGCTAGTAAAGGTTTTTCTCTTTCAGCTTTAGCTTGTTTCTGCGGAGGATTCCGCTCTTTCTCCATCAGTTTCACAGCCCTGGAATTGTAGAAAAGCTCTGGTTTCAAGACCATTGATATCATTTCTGTCAGGGTGAGTTTCAAATTAATTTCATAACGAAAACTAAATATGTTAAACAACAGGACATGAGCTTCTCATTGTAAGTGGCTGAATTTAATAGCAAAGCACATCAAAATAAAATGTACCCAAGTTACTAGCTAAGACTTAGGATAAGTTTCTGGTTGAAAGTAGAAGAAAACATGTAAACGTATATTCTCCTTAAACTTTAACATTTGTTTTAGAAACCTAAAAGTTTTCTAGAAAAAAAAATAGATCTGTTTTTTATTCCACCACCACTTGTCTTTTAATATAACATTAAGATTAATTTAGATGCTGCATTAAACTAAGCAGATAGGAACTATGTCAGTAAACTATGCATGAATTATTTTTCACAATTTTGCCAGAAGAGCAAATAATAAATTTAAATATTCTCCCAAATCCAAATACATATATATAGATCTCAACAGTTTTTATTCTAAATACTAATATTAAAATCAAGATTGAGTTATGTTCTAAAAAACATCATTTTAACTTTATATTGAACCTTTTTAGTTTACCAAACTAATAACTAAGTTAACCTTTTACAGTTCTTGGCTTATAAGAGACATTTAAACCTTTTTTGCATAATTATTATTAGTTTCTTAATTATTGCCCCAGATGTTGAGTATGTTGGATTTTCTATAATAATTTAGGATATATTGTATGAAATCAGTAAATATTCATATTCAAAATTAAAATAGTTGAAACTAATGTTTATGTATGTTTTACATATTTAGCTCCCTTTGGGTGAATATTTAATAAGCAAAGTAAATCTCAAAGTGCCTTTTTAATGATCTGGGTATTTAATCTGCATAACAAATTATTTATGACCATATTATTACAAAATTATGGCATACCATATGATTGTAACATGGAATTATTTCTTTTTTCATTGGCCTTCTAAATTTTGTTTTTTGGGTTATGGGCTCCTCCTCAACTTGCTTATCTCCTTATGTTTTAGGAGACTATTAATAATTCTTGTCCATTCTACATACATATAGTCAAAATGAGAAAAAATATTATCAGCAAGTTTCTGCTTGTATACGGAATTGCAAAAACAAAGTTTTTTTTAATATTTTTTCTCATTACCAAGTCATTCTTTGAGATTTTCAGACATGGTCTTTTAAGAAAAAGAAAATATGTCTATTATTTCTAGCAAGTATTGGCATTTATCTAAGTAAAAGTTTGGAGAAAAATTTGAAAAATACTTAGAAATAGGAATTAAAATCTGAAAATAGCCAGGCACAGTAGATTACAGCTTGCCTGTAAATCCAGCAGCTCAGGAGACTGACACAGGAGGATCATGAATTCAAAGTCAGCCTCAGCAATTTAATGAGGCCCTAAGCAACTCAGTGAGAGTCTGTCTCTAAATGAAATATTTTTAAAAGAGCTGGGGATGTGGCTTTGTAGTAAAGTGCCCCTTGGTTCGATCCCTGGTACAAAAAAAAAAACAAAAAACTGAAAATAACTTTATAGCATGGACAAGATTTATTAATGTCTACCTCAATAATCATTTAAAAATTTTTCGCATGTATTTGCTGCCATTGATGTTCTGATTGCTTAAATTGCCCAGTGAATATGTGCAAAGATTTAAATAAAAAAGAATATGAATTTAACTTGATTTTTTTTTCCTCCTGTGATATAAATTCACATCTACAAATTTTAACTTTTCAGAAATTAGAAAGTAATTTTTAAAGACTAAGGATGACAACTTCTGTACCTTATCAAGAAGTCAAAATACAGTTTGTGAATGTCATAAGTGACATCGTTTTTATTACAATTGATCATTGTATTTTGCATTTAGATTTGTATTGTGACTACTTTAAAACCTGTTATAAAGTTCTCTGGAGTTTTTAAAAATATTTTATGTTAACATTATCAATAACAATTTGAAGTAGTTTACACAATACCTGTGGATTTTATTCTTTTTTTGTTTTGTGTTCAAATTGATGTTAGTTGCTATACTTGGTTTCATTGCTGCAAATGCATTCCCTAAAGTATAAGGGTTAGCAGATCTTGCACTGGAATTGAATTTAAAAACAAGCATTTGGTTCAGTTTAAAGCTCTGAAAATGCAACTTACCTTTTTGCATTTATTATGTACTTATTTAAAGTATAGAAATGAATAACTTTTCCTTAAAAGATATACTGGGACCAATGAGCTTTTACAGTAGCTGTAATTAGTTCCATGTATCTGATTTCCCAAAATTTATTTCTAGAGAGATATGAATGCTTATTCTCCAAATATGTAAGTCCCTGTGCTTTAGTACAGAACAACCTCTTAAGAATAAATATGTTGGTTGGTCTGCTATTTTTCTAACAAGTCATTCATAAGAAATGACTGGAATGACAACAGGAAATTTATTCTGTTATAAGGTTTTTACTTCTTAATATATAAAATTTTGATGACCTATTTTTATTGTTGGATGCCGGTATTTTCTTTAAAAAAAAATCACTTGATTTAAAGTTTGTTTTAATTATACATATAAAGTTATCGGTTTTCATTCTTGATACTTTTTAAAAAATTTAACTTACTGTACATTCTATATAAACCTAACTCTAGTTAACTAAAATTAGTTTTCTTTAAATATTTAGGTGTCAGACAAAGAGAAAATTGACCAACTTCAAGAAGAACTTCTGCATACTCAGGTAATTCTGATGAGTAAGAAAACCCAGGATCTTTTTTAAAAATAATCCTATGTAAGTTTGATGATATGTAAGTTTGGAAGTTTACTTTTTTCAACAAAGCAATATTTGGAATTGTTATTGATAAACTCTTGTTATCGCTAAGAGAGAAAAGCTAATTGAGAACTAAGAAGAAGCTATGTAAGTATTGAATTAACTCATTTATGTGTCTCATTTTGAGTGTACTGTGAAAAAAGGAAGGAAAGTGGTTGTTCCTGCATGAACTGACTCTTGCATTTTTATATTGATAAAATAATTTCTTTAATTGGCAACAGTTAAAGAAATTTGAATTGAGTCTACTACCACATAAGTCTAGTGAGCTCTCCGAAATCTTTTTCTTTGCTTCTCTGAAGCCTGAAACCAATCAGATTGTACTTTTCTAAAGGTATTTCTGGTTCCACTTTGAAAAGCTATTCTTTTAATAGTTTGTAAAATCATCATTTTAAAGATCTGTTCTTGTGCAGTGTTATTAGTAGATGACTTTCTAGTGCAAAATTGCCTTATCACTTCATCATCTATACTCTATATAAATAACAGTAATGTACAATCATTAAGAGTTAGTTTTAAAAGTTAAAAGATTTTTCATCTTGGGTCTTTCTATTTAGGAAAAAAAAACAATTATCAATCTGGATGAAATTAAACAACTAATATGTATATTTTGAGTCACAGGTTTCCTTGATTTTTTCATTGAGTCTTATACCCGACTGTATGCTACAATCACCTATGTTCTGGGTGGCCCCATATATTTTTTATTATTTGCCATTTATTTATTTATAGAGCACTTATAGTTGTACATAGTAGTTGGATTCATTTTGACAAAATCATACATGGCATGGACTTTGATTTTAATCACATTCCCTCCCTTCCCATCCTTCCCTCCCCTCCTTTCCCCATTCTCTTTCTTCTACTGATCTTTCTTTCAATTGCTTATTTATTTTTGACTGATGCTTTCTACATATACATAAAGGTGAAATTCCCTGTGGTACATTTATATATGCATATAATGTGATTTTGTTAAATTCATTTCATATTTCCTTCCCTTTCACTTTTCTTCCTTCCTCTCTCTGGATCTCCTTTTACTCTAATGATCTTCCCCATATATTTATGATACTGACCACCCCTGTCCAACATCTTCTTTCTCTTATTTTGCTCTAGCTTCCACATAAGAGAAAACATTCAATCCCTGATTTTCAGAGTCTGGCTTATTGCACTTAGCATGATGTTCTGTTTTCATAATTTTTTTTCTTCTTTATGGGTGACAAATACATTAAGAAAGGTTCAATATTTCTAGTAATCAAGGAAATGCAAATAGAAGCTACACTAAGATTTCATCTCATTCCAGTCAGGATAGCAGTTATTAAGAACACAATAATAAATCCTGGCAGGGATTGGGGGTACACCTGTACATTGTTGGGGGGCCTGCAAATTAGTACGACTACTCTTAAAGCAGTATGGAGATTCCTCAAAATTAGGAATAAAACCACCATATGACCCAGCTATCCTACTCCTTGGTATTTATCTAAAGACACTAAAAGCCGTATAGTATAGTGATACAGCAGGAGTTAGGAATCAGTGGTTTTATAGATGTGGACATGCTGTGGAGAGAAGTGAAGTAAGCAAGCTGGAATGCATGCTGGGCCTACCTTAGCCATCTTCATTGCCTAAAGAGATCTCAACAGCAGCAGCAGCCTTGCTGCTGCTAGGAGGAGAAGGAAAGGTCATCAATCTGTCTTATCTCTTCGTCCCCAGGAGGATAAGAGGGAGCAGTTGCTGATGTCACAAATACACTTTCAGGCAATAACTTCTAAATCTTGGTTGAAATTTTTAACCATCCTCAGTGGATTTTTTTTATGTTTTCAGCTATTTAGTAAGTATCTTGTTGGGAGAACAGGTGGCACATAGGCTAATATTCTTCATAATGATCTTCATGCTAGAATTACTTCTAAAAGTTAAAAGATGATGACAACAGAAACATCTAGAAGGATAAATGAACTTGATTCCAGTTTCTAGCCAATATAAAGATGAAAACACAGACATCACTGAAAACCTCTATCAAAAAGTTAAAATTCTTTTTTGGGATGTGGTAGTTCCTCAGAATCTAGAGAAAAAGTCCAAACATGTAAAAGCTACCATGAGTTCAGTGTCATAATAAAGTGGTGTTAAACACTTTCCTGCTGTGGGATTAAAAACCAAAGGAGCAGAGTACCTGTACTGGAAAGCAATTAAAGCTTTTCAGTATGTTCATGACCATTATTTAGAAGATGCTAATTGGTGTGTGAAAGCAGATGATGATACATTTGTCATACTAGACAATTTGAGATGACTGCTTTCAAATCACGGTGCTGAAGAACGAATTCACTTTGGGAGAAGTACTGTGTAAAGCAGGATTGCATGAGTGGAGATCAAAGAAGCCTTGAAGAGATTTGGTAGTGATGCATTTAAAACAGTCAGATGTACCCATAATTCCTCCAATGAAAACGGGAATAATGTATGTAAATTATAAATGTAAACCTGGAGATTCTAGAGGTAATCACTGGAAAATAAACTTTTCATCCCTTTCTATAAGAACACCACCTAATCAAAGGTTATCTACCCAGAACTTTTTGGTACTGTTACTATAAATATTATCCTCCTGTAGAGGTCCTGGTTACTGTTCTGATCTAACGGTTTCTTTTCACAATGTTGATTCTGCAACAATCAAGAATACCTTGTTTGTTATTTTCATCTGTATGGCTATTTATATAGATATCAACCTGCATTATCTGAAAATTGAAATAATTCAAGCAAACAAAAATGAAGATCCAAGAGTAAAATTAGGAAACCCTTGAAAGAAAAGTGTGAATGAACCCAAAAAATGTCTAGCAGTACAATGAAGAAGGACTTGGGCATATTTGACTTAGAACCGTGAAATCCCAGTGAAGAATTAATTCTGAGTAAACATTCCATATAGAAATCTTTCAAGTAAATGACTAAACTGAAACTAAAGTCTATTAAAATGGTTTGATATGGTAATGTATGTACATGCACATACATACACATATAACACACACACATATATGAGGAACTTATGTTTTTAAAACTGACAAGGTTGAAGAACTAGAAGAGATTTTGTTGTTGGCTTCTGGCCATGTATATTATTTTGATTGAGTAACTAAAATAGTTAACTTTGCTAAAACTGCACTGCACTATGTAAATCCACACTGCTAAAAAGACTTGCCTTAAGAAAATTTAGAAGGAAATATGGTTGCTCAGTGTTTATACTTATTTATAGTGTGATATAAATGAACCAGTCACTCTTCCCCGCATGCATAGTTACCTAATGAAAATTTTGTTGTGGTTATTTATAATTGGCAATATCTATTCAAGAAGAAGGTAGACTAAGAATGGCACTTATCCTAAAGTGCATTAATAAAACTACATTTTGTAAGTTAAAAAATTCACTGGTCTGAAAGTGTGATCGCTAGATCAGAAGTATCAGTGTTCTTTGGGAGGTGTTAAAAAATGGCAAATTCTTGTCTCTGTCCCACTCTGGGAATGGAACCTAGCAATCTTTTTTTTTTTTCTTTTTTTAATTGGTTTCTCAGAACATTACAATGATCTTGACATATCATATTTCATACATTTGATTCAAGTGGATTATGAATTCTTATTTTACCATGTATACAGATTGCAGGATCACATTGGTTATACATACGGAACCTAGCAATCTTTGTTTTGAAAATCTTTCAAGGAAGTTGTGATTTGCCCTACAGTATATTATTGTTCTAGAACCTTGCAAGACAAGTTAATAGCACATTGCTGTAGTTGACATGTGTACTAAAGAATGAAAATATAAATCCCCAAATAGATTCCATATTTACGAGGAAATGAGCCAGTGGAAATCCTACCACCTTTATGTATCCCTTAATATCAACCCTTTGACTTGTACAGTTGTAGTCATTAGCCACTGAGCATTGACACAACACTGTATGGAGAATTCATAATATAATAAAACCATGGAATTAGCTGTGTCTGTATCAGTGATTTCCAGTAGAAAGAAATATGCAGGTCACCTGAAAAATTGAAAGTTTTACATTAAAAAAGGATGAAAAGAAACAGATGAAATTGTTTAACAATATACTATTTAGCCCAATATGTCTCAAATACTTTAATTTTAATGTATGATCTATGTAAAAGTATTAAATAAGATATTTTATGCTTACAACATATCTTCATAGACCAGCCGTATTTTAAGTGTTTAGTAGTTTCTTTGGCTTGTGACTACCATATTAGGCAACAGTAATCTACCAGAATTTTGTTATATGTGCTATTAGTGGATATAAATGGATGTGTAAAAAATGTTTACAGTGCAACGTAAACTGTTTTATATTATATGATTCAATTATATGTTTTCTTTAACTTGGTTTAAGCTGGACATTTTCAGAGGATAGGACCATGTTTAAGTGATAACTTTGTTCTAATACGTTTTTTTAATCAAAAGATTGAAACTTTTTAAAAAACTTTTCTTAAAAACTATTTTCTATTATGAAAACTATGATGTACATTTATACAGGAACATTCTGCTGATTATTGGGAAGAGTGCTTCTTAGTAGTTTCTTGTACATTTTTCAATGTTTAGAAGAAATAAGAATGAGGAAGACCAGTTCAAAAGGATCACATTCACTTAAGAAGAGGAGATGGTTACCAAGCAACTCCTTTGACAGAATACCCTCTTTGAATTTATTAGTTTTTTTTACAATCTATTTTTATATCATTATTTTAAATATTGACATTTTCTCTGGGCATTGGCATTTAACAAAACGGAAGAATTTGAACCTCTGACTCAGACAAACTTATATTCAAAAACTCTTTTTCTCCACCAATACAAGCTAGGTTGCCTTGGGCATGCTACCACACATCCCTAAATTAAGATCCTACTCTGCATAACTCCTGCCACGTGACGTTTCTAGGATGGCTAAGATAGTTAATACATGGGAAACAACTTAGTAGAAAGTCTATCACGTGCTACATGCTCAAGTATTGTAGTTATTATTACTTTATATCATAGCATCAATTAAAACAAAATAACTTGGGAATGGAAAGAATCTGAATTTTTGTCGAATGGCCCTATAATGAAAACCTTAAATTTTGACAATAACAAGAAATACTGCCTTTTTAGGGTGTTCTTCAGAACCTGCTTTTTAAAATTCATACATATTTGATATTTCTAAATAACTTAATTTTTTCAGTGTAAGAAATTTGTTAAGAATTTTTCAAATTAAATGCTAAATTACAATAGAAAATTATGAATTTTACTATTTAATATTCAGAGTTTCATTATTGCCTTATAAGCCTTTTAAAAGTAATATGTATATTTTAAATAGGTGATATGACTTCAAAATTTTGGAAGATTTTAATTTGGACTTAATATTTGTTGACCCATCTTTTTCTTATATAATTGTATGTATTATTTTTTTGCAGCTAAAGTATCAGAGAATCTTGGAACGTTTAGAAAAGGAGAACAAAGAATTGAGAAAATTAGTATTGCAGAAAGACGATAAAGGCATCCATCATAGAAAGCTGAAGGTATTTTCTTTCAGTTTATTAATTCTCAAAACTTTGACACATACCTTTGTTCATTGATACCAGTTTTTAAAGAACTGTAAAATGTTTTGTTATCCTTTTATTTCCAATTTAATGTCAACAGTCTCCCAGATTTATTCTTATACTGGATTCCTAAAAGCCTTATTTTTAAGAGTAATTCCTTGGGAATTTATTTTTCTGAAATACTTGGTTCATCTCTAGGCTTAATTTCTACATCTATATAATTAGAATTATTAATTTGATGGACATTTAACTATGACATCATCATTGCCTTACTATTATTTCCAGTGAATGACTGAGCCACTTTATTTGATTTTAAAAATTAACATTCATCTTCTAAAGGAAGCTTCTTTGGCATTTATAAGAATTTTTCGAAAAAGCCTATGATGATATTATTATTAGCACATTGGTAATTACCACTATCTCCCACCAAACCAAGCCAAGCCATATGTGTTTAATGAAATTAAAGTAATTCATTTAGCTTAAATGTTGTAAGTAAGCACAATAAGTACTCATGGCACATACATTCTGTAGCCAAGGTCCAAAGATTTCATTCTAGTTTAAAGAATGTGTTGCTAGCTCTGATTCTTAAGTTGTGACAGTACAAAATAGATAACTAGCATGGCTTCATTTACAAGTGGCTCTTACCAGTTGAGAAAAGCCACATCCAAATGTAACTGTATGTTGAGAATTTACCTAAAAGATGGCATTTTCTCTCATAAAATGCATTGGTAATGAAATTTCTTTTTAAATTTTTTTGCTTGCTTTTAGATAGATGGAATGACAGTTGCTTATCATTTAATTACTTTCAGGTATAAAAGATTAAGACACTTAAACCCTAAAGTTGTTTCTATCTTGGCATTAAAACATCTTAAAAAAAAAAAAAAAGCACCTTATCTTTAATTATTAAATGGGTCTTTTTTTTCCAGACCACTTTGCTTATTTGTTTGGTCTTCAGATATTTTACTTATATGTAAGACACCATGTTCATTCCTTATCTACAGAGAAGCAATCTAGGATATCTGTCCCAGATGCTCTAACATAGTAGCCTTCCGAGGTGTCAGAGGAAGCTTAACCTCTTTTACTGGCTTAACAGTCCTCTTGGTGATCATTTCTCTAGTTTTAGCCTCAGATGTTTATTTGCATATGTTCTCTATCCTTTTTTTTTCTTCCTGTCAAACACACACACCCCATACTTGGCAGAGAATAATAGCTTCCTTGGCAATTGGTCACGTGGCCTCTTTTATGGCCTTTTTGGTATTAATGGTCTTCCTCTATTGACATTTAATATTAGCTCATCAGTAATAATACCTTCCTTTTATTATTTAATTAGAATTTTAGGAAGTTCTAAATTTTTTCCCTAAATTAAACTGAAACTCTAAAGTAAACTGAAGATGAAATGGCATTTTACCCTTTATTCAACTGATTTTCTTACAGTTTTTTTTTTTTTTTTAATAGTGTCTTGTGGATGTACATAATAGTGAGTCTCGCTATGGTATCTTCATATATATGTGAACACAGGAAATTTAGATCAGACTCATTCCACTGTTCTTCCTTTTCCCATCCCTTAATGTTTTAATGTTTACTATGAAGATATATTCATGTAATTGGAAAAAGCAGTATAATCATGGAAAAACAATTTAAACATATCACATTTTTTTTTTCTCTAGACACATCTGTAGTATTTTTTTCCTTAATGTTTCAATTTTCTATTAATTTTTTAAAATTTTTCAGAAATCTTTGATTGATATGTATTCAGAAGTTCTTGATGTTCTCTCTGATTATGATGCCAGTTATAATACACAAGATCATCTACCACGGGTAAGTGAAAAAATAATACACAATGAACTTGCTCATTAGCAAAAATCACCTTCTTAAAAGTTTTATGTATCTATACACATATTGTATGCATTTACATATATACACACACATAGACATACATAATTTTTTACCTATATAATATTATTTATGTGTTCAGATGATAGCTTAAGCACTGAGTATTGTTTGACTCTTTATTTTGCTCCATATTCACATCTTATTTATGTATTGTATAATGTTGTGAAGGAAGACTATTGGATATTTGGCATTATAAATTCATTAGATTTATAATAGTAAAATACCTGAACCATAAATTAAATTAGGCACACAAATGAAATTTAATCTAATAGAATTTAAATGTATTTATAAAGAGTAAATAGCTATAGAAAATTTGTGGCGAGTTAGTAGTCTAGTATTAGAAAAAGTGGTTTTAATTGATTAGCACAAGTTTTTTTAATTAAAATTTGGCTATAAATAATGGATCTGATTAATGTTTTGCTATATCAACCATCATTTTGTCATGGGTTTTCAAAAACTCATTTATTTTTATTTTTAATTTGGCTTTATTGATCATGGATTCTGAAACTGGATGTCTGAATGTTTTGTTTCTAAACCCAAAAATTATCTTTTTTTCATGGCACATGTAAAAAAAAAAAGCCTTTTTTTTTTTCCCCTTTCAAAGGGGAGAAAAATCACCACGTGTTAAAAGGAAATCAAAACAAACAACTACATTCTGCAGCACGAAACAGTCAACTCAGGGCTACCATTGCCTGATATGACCTTCTATCAGATTTTACATGAGGCTTCTCAGAAGGATGTATGTTTAGTCCACCCTGAAGATGACCACAATACTTTTCCCCAGTAATCTAATATGATATTTAATAACCCTTTGCTTCCAAGGGTATTTGTTCTTCATTCTAATGCAAATTCAACCTTTTCTACATTACTTTTTTCCTACTTCTCTATGAAACTAGAACCTCCATCTAACTGATATTTTATACCGAAAAGATGGATTACATTAGTAGAGCATTAACCCCTATTCTTAGAAATTTGACCTAATATAGCATGACACATCTATCTGACACATCTATCTTATAAATTATTCTTTTTTAAAATTATATCATCCTTTTTCTACATTTTTATTGCTTCTTTTTAATCATACTTGACAGTAGAATTCATTGTAATATAATTGTACCAGCATAGAATGTATCTTATTCTAGTTAAGACCCCTTCTTATAGATGCATATGATGGTGGGATTCACTGTGGTGTACTCATATGTGTACATAGGAAAATTATTTCAGATTCATTCCATTGTCTTTCTTTTTCCCATCCCGATTCCCTTCCCTCATTGTTATACAAAATACATATATGATGATGTGAGGGAGAAGAAGAAAAAAAAGAGAGAGAGAAATATATCATAGTAGATTGGGTAGAGGAAGGTGATGGGAGGGGAGGGGGGTAGGGAGGGTAGCAGAATACAACAGACACTAGTATTGTTGTATGTATATACGTGGCTATATAACCAATGTGATCCTGCAATCTGTACAAGTGGAAAAATGAGAATTCATACCCAATTTGTATCAAATGTATGATTGTCAAAATCATTGTATTGTCTTGAGCAACTAATAAAAAAACAAAACAAAACAAAGGTTGAATGTTTTTGCTGATATGTGGAGGCTAACCCACAATAAGTGGGGAGAGGGAATGAATAGATAGGCTCAGTAGGTTAGACAAAAACTCATATTTTAACTATAATAATTTTAAAAGACTAAAAAAGCAACATTTCATATCTATTTAAGCAAATTTTTTATCTGAGAAATATGAATAAATGTTATTTGCTTTGTGATAAGGTTGTTGTGGTTGGAGATCAGAGTGCTGGAAAAACAAGTGTGTTGGAAATGATTGCTCAAGCACGAATATTCCCTCGAGGATCTGGAGAGATGATGACACGTTCTCCAGTGAAGGTAGGAAAAACAGCCATCTGAATGAAGTGCTATATAAAACTTCTTTTAACTTTTAGTTAAAAGAAGTTTTATATAGCATTTTGAATGATTCTTAGTGTAGAAATGAGTAAGTGGCACAGCCAGAATGCCCATGTGGCAGAAAAATAGAGTGTGGATGAGGACAGTGGAGGTACAGTGGCTAGCCAGGCTAGTCTACAGCTCCTTGGGTGGTTGGAGGAGAGAAGCACTGTCATGTTTAAGGAACAGTAAAGACACCAGTGTGACTTGACCAGAGTGGAGAATTGTGATGATGTCACAGAGATAATGTAGGACTGAGTGAAGCAAATCATTAGGGCCTTGTACACCATTGCAAAAACCATGATTTTTATTTTGAATAAGACAAAGAGCCAGTGCAGAATTTAAAGCAAAATTATATTGCCTTTTAAGGGGTCTGGCTGCTATGTTAAAACTAGATAAAGGCAAGATAGAAAGAATCATGGAAACCAGGTGAGAGGCTATCAGATTATCCAGTTGATCCTTGGACCAGTGAAGTAACATTGAAGGTAATAAGAAATAATTTGATTTTGAATCTGTTTTAAAGTGGCAACAACAGGATTTCTTGCCATATTTAATAGGGAAAGAGAGGGTATATGCTAGTAATTAAGGAGGTTGTGGACCTAAACACAGGACCCAGAATTGCGTCCTGGGCACTCTCGATATTAAAAAGTTGAATGAAGAGACAATAAAGGAATGTGTGAAGGTCCAGCCAATGCAGTAGGAGGGGAACCAGGACCTTACTGGGATCAGGAGAAAATATAGTGAGGAGGAGGAAGTGATCAGTAAGGTCAAATGCTGCTGAAAGGTTACAACAAAGACTGAGGAGCAGTCAGTCAGTGGTGTGGCCAGATATGGTGGCACACACTGTAATTCCAGTTACTCAGGAAGCTGAGGCAGGAAGATGAAAAGTTCAAGGGCAGCTTCAGCAAGACCCTGTCTCAAAATAAAATTAGAAAGTCTGGGAATGTGGCTCAGTGGTAGATTGCTTGCCTAGCCTGTGCAAAGCCATGGATTCAATTCCTAGTCCCTAGTACCACCAAAAAAAAAAAAAAAAATGAAAAGCAATCATTTCAGTTTACTAGTGGGGACACATAGTGGAATATATATGGAAATTTTTTGATTGCTTCTGCTTCCTCAATGAAATGAGAAGCCAAATTATCAGCTGTTATATAAGGAGAAAGGATTGAGACAAGAGAAAGAAATGACGACTTTATGAGGAGTTGATGTACCTGTAGTAGTGAATTGATGAAGTCAAGTAGTGTTAGGATTGATGAGTTAGAAATCCTCATTAAGATCTGTGGACATAAATTTAAAGTGAATCTGTGGGTTTTTTGGTGAGGAGGGGGTGTTCCTTGTTCTTTGTTTTACAGTTAGCTGGTGGGGTGGGTATGGAATTATTAAGAATTGGGAAATTGGAAATTACCAAGAATTATAGCTAGAATAGTGGTAGAAAATGAGACAATGAGCTGATATCAAAATCTTCAAGAAGTGAAATCTTTTTATAATTGCAACAAGGAGTATTGGGCAGTCTAGTATGATTCAAACAAGAGAATGCACTTTTTTGGGTCTGGCTGTGTTGTGTGATACTTGTTCCTTCTTCATGTTTCCGTGCTATTGAGTGAATGTACCATACTTTATAAATCCATTTTACTATTGGTAGGAATTTGGGGTACCTCCAACATCCCAAAGTGAACCTATGCTTCATATCACATTTCATAATCAATTGGAAATAACCTTTGGTGTCGTTACTAGTACCTTAATTGTAGAGGTTGTGGATAATAATGCAGGAGAGAATTAACTTTGTTCTGGTAGGTAGTTGTAGTGTGAACAGGTTTTCTTGAAACAGATAAGGTTTGTCTATTTCAAGTTGGCCACTAGTCGTCTAATATTTTTTCCAGGTTTTTTCCAGATTTCTCCTTCTTGATGGACCCTGCACTCCATATTTTTGTCTCCCCAGGACAGTGAAATTAGCAAAGTCTTGACTTAGCATTTTAGTCTCTTTGCTGCTACTTTCTGCTTGGTTTTCTAATATGCACATGTCTTGAAGGCAAACAGTGCACAGGATATAGGACTCAGTTTTGTCAGGGTGTCACATTTGCAGTTTATTTTTCTCTGGAATCATGTCTACTTGATAAACCTGAACTCCAGTTTTTGTTTAGTCAATCCAGCAAAACTGCTGCAGGTTTCAGGCTTTTTTCTTGTCCTCTGCCCTGTGCCACAAATCAACAAATGCTCTGATGGAAAACAGCTGCAGGAGAATCCCCTGCAAATCCCCCTGGGATCCTGGACTTTGTCCAGGATATGCCATAGTTGCTTTCAGCACTATTTTTTTTTTTTTTAAATCTAATCTGGTAGTTACTGTCAGTGGAAGGAGTTGTATTTTTAAAGTAAAATAGTAAAATTAAAGTGTGAAAAGTATAATTGCTAAATTAAGGAAGGTGAAATTTAGAAGTTCTCATAAAACCCCTTGTCCAAGGGCCATTCCTTGGGTAAAGCTTCTCAGACTCTCCTAATATCATTGCCATTCTTATCTGTGGCATCCTAGGCTTTGTCACTCTGTTCTGTCTATGTATATTTCTCCTACTATGTAGTGAGGCCTAAGACAGGGCCAGTCAACTATATTTTCTTAACTGCAACACTTGACAAATAGGTCGTAAGCATAAATGTTGAATAAATGAATTGCCCTTTACTTGAATTCACCTTTGAAGTTAATTGTAGTCCTTTCTTTGAATTTTTCAAGTTTCATTGTATTCTGCATGACATTGACTAGGGAATGAAAAGGGGAAGAACATTTGGTTACAAGATATGAAGTAGTCAGTAATCTTGTTGGAAAATCACAACACATGTGATATATACATGAGCAATACAGAACTGCCAGAGTGATGGCTCTAGTGTGAAGAACTGTCAGATGTGTATGATGCAGTGGCTCTGGCTGGACCAGGTAAGTGCTGTAGAAATTAATATTGACTATAAATGTATTATTGTTATTTGTTTTCTGTAATTTCAGGTGACTCTAAGTGAAGGTCCTCACCATGTAGCCTTGTTTAAGGATAGTTCTCGGGAGTTTGATCTTACCAAAGAGGAAGATGTAAGTAGAATTCATCCAAGGCTTATGTGTATAACTTTATAAGCCCTGTGAGCTTTTAAGACAATTAAGTGGAATATCTGTGAACTAATATTTTCTTTGAATTTTGTTATCTTCCTTTAACAGCTTGCAGCATTAAGACATGAAATAGAACTTCGAATGAGGAAAAATGTGAAAGAAGGTTGTACAGTTAGCCCTGAGGTAAGAGTTGCAGTTTATTTCAAAATGTTTTATAGAAGTGCATTGTTTATAGTTTCAAGTAAATTTCAGTATTGGTATTGATGTTTGATTATAGCTGTCCCAAGATACAGAAATTTTTTGAAAAATAATCTAAATAATGTATCATTTTGTAGATAATATTCTAGAATAATTACTTTTAAGATTAGAACAACTTTATTTTTTCCAAATGCTTCATCTGAATGGATGAGATGCTGAATTTTCAGAATATATAGCACCAAAACAATTCTTAACAACCCACCCCCCAATTTTTTTTTTTTTCTTCCTGAATAGACTATATCCTTAAATGTGAAAGGCCCTGGATTACAGAGGATGGTGCTCGTCGACTTACCAGGTGTGATAAATGTAAGTATAGACAAAACATGATTTTTTTTTTTTTAATTTCTACTGTGGGTAACATTTATAATGACATTTAAAACCTTTTTCTTCAAGACTGTCACATCAGGCATGGCTCCTGACACAAAGGAAACTATTTTCAGTATCAGCAAAGCTTACATGCAGAATCCTAACGCCATCATACTGTGTATTCAAGGTAAATCATACTAAACAATTTTAATTACATTGATATGCTTTCTTTAGTAATCTAAGCTTCACCCCCAATAATGCACATTATGTAAATGTACAAGACAAATAGATGTTTACTTTTCCTTTTTTTTCATTTTATTTGTATATAGAATTGAAGTTGAGGATATTTTCATATTTTTCATTCTAGGAATCATAGAAATTTTTATTGTTCAGAGTTTTCTTTCATAAGTAAGGTAAATGTATTAAGAAAATGGTTCTTGTTATAAAGCAGACATTAACTATATAGTTTGTATTTACTTTGCAATTATTATAATGTCATTTTTCAACTTTTCAGATGGATCTGTGGATGCTGAACGCAGTATTGTTACAGACTTAGTCAGTCAAATGGATCCTCATGGAAGAAGAACCATATTTGTTTTGACCAAAGTAGACCTGGCAGAGAAAAATGTAGCTAGTCCAAGCAGGGTGAGAGCAAATTGTTTATTATAAGAACAGATTCTTCCTAATAGCTCTAGCTGTAATAGGGATTGGTTAATTTTTTTTTATTTTTTAATCTTTGTTAGTATTTATGGGATTTGATTCCTATTTTAAAATGATGTATCAGAAAATTATAGTAAATTACTCAAGTGTAATTTGGGAATATAAATAAAATTCCATGTATTTTGTAACTAATTTACTTACAAAATATTTTAAACTGCTAATGTTTGCCTTCCCTTCCTTTCTTCCACAAATCAGTGGTAGTATAGATTTATTTTGGATCTTACATATGCCATTTTACTGCAGGAAGGATTACCTTCTCTCATTCATCAAGACTGCGTGCTCCACTATCAACTGGTTGTGTGGTCTTAGGCAAACTTAATCACTTTTCTGTATCCAGTCAATCCAGAATCCAGCCCATTAGTCTAGTTGACTAGATAAAATCTAAGATCATTTTCATTTTTTAAATTCTGTGAGTTCTATATGTAGTATTCAAATGTCTCTTAGGGAAATATGTTTAGAATAATTTCATTGAAATCTGTTAACAGCTTTCCTATTTCTTCCCCCTTCTTGTGTGTCTTATTAGGGTTCAAGTCTTCTCTTAAAGATGTTCTCTATTTACTTGTAAAGACAGAAACTTCTGTGTTAAGAGTCTAGAAATCTGTAGCCAGATTGCTTAGCTTCAAATCCTGGCTTTATCATTTGTAGCTGTGTAATCTTGAGTAAATTTTTTTGACTTTTCAGAGCTTAAGGCTTCATCATCTGGTGGAATGAGGATATTCATGGTACTGTCTCATAGGTTGTGAAGGTTTAATGAGTTTAATAAATATGGTAAAGTGGTTGGAATAATGCTTGGCACAGAAGTATTTGTTATATACATGGAAGCTATCATCTTTGAGTAATATTGTCCTACTCGTGTGTGACAACAGCTTTAGACTTTGGTACCCAGCCCCACTGCTACTTCATAGAATGTGTCCTTCCCATTTTACACCTTCTGGGACTCTTCCTCAGTATCTGGAGTCTCCCAAACAGACCAGCCCTAGGTTCAGTGATTCTACAGAAGAACTCACAGGACTTACCACATAGTTACATAGTTATATTTACACCTAAGGTTTATTACAGTGAAAGGATACAAAGGAAGTCTGGCAGCCACAAATTGCTCGTTAGAGACTTCACACCTAAGGTTTTTTGTCAGTTAGACATCCTCATGTACCAAAATTCCAGACTCCCACAAGGAAGGCACATTGTTCAGCATAAACCACATTACTTGTACAAAGAGCCACTGTCATTTAGAGTAAGTTTTATATCAGTATAAGGGATTGTTTATCAGTTAAGTTCCCAGATGCCAGGAAAAGGAAGCAGGCCTTTTTCAGGATTCTCTCAGGCCTGCTGTATTAACTCTCCATAACCTCCGTTGTGCCTTATTTTTAAGAGTAAAGCCTGATGTGGCTGTATTGGTCCTGATGTAGAGGAGAGAAGTAAAGTAGAAACAAATTTCTATGGCCTCCATTTCTCTCCAGACCTTTCTTTTTTTTTTTTTTCTCCTTTGTAGAATAGTCAGTTTGAATTTCATTTGAAATGGAATTAAAGTTTATTTTGTTCTTTTTCATGTCAAAGATTCAGCATTAGCCTAGATTGTAATGAGTTTTAGAGGAGGAATTCCTACCCCAGTATTCATCTGAATGGGCCTCAGGGGTAAAAACTCTTATATTTTCTGTGCATATATATACTTTTCTGGGTTTAGCATCTAGTTTTTATCACACTCAGAAAAAGGATTTTTGACACTGGACAAATAGAGAACCAATGAGTCCAACTATTAAAAAAGGAGGTGGGGGAAGGAGAAAGAAGAAAGACTAAAAGAAGACAATCCAGCTTGTTTAGAGGTTAGATAATTGAAGACACTGGGGAAATAATAATAAAAAGCTATCATTTGAGTGCTTTTCTTTGCCTATTCGAAGTATTGTATTATCTCTCATAATCTCAACAACCTTTTTGAAAAAATTAAGGCTACATAGTTGTTCAGTGGCAGAGCAGGATTTCAGAGATTAACTCCAAAGCACTACATAATCATTCCAAGTTTTAATTTCAGTGCATATGTTTTAATAAGACATTTTAATAGTAAAATTAAATGTATTTGTTTTTCTCAAACAGCAGTTGAATTACATTTAAATGCTTTTGTACATACTAATATATTTTGCTCAACATGTATAGCATCACAAATTATTTTGCTTTCTAAATTATGTATTGTCCTTTTAAAAATTATGTAAGCTTCTATCTCATTTATTTTACCTACTTTTAAAAACAGATTCAACAGATAATTGAAGGAAAGCTCTTCCCAATGAAAGCTCTGGGCTATTTTGCTGTTGTAACAGGAAAAGGTATGCAAGATGGATTATTATAACTCATTTTCAGTTTTTTTTTCAAGTAATAAATATTAATTTCCTT